CCTGCCAAAAGGAACGAGCCCAAATTTGATCTTTCTATCATTTAAAAAAAAAAAAAAAAAAAAAAAAACCCACGCCATAATGTTTCAGATGAAAACACAGCTTGTCAAAGATGTCAAATAAAAGGATAACAAAGAAAGGAAGAGCATCTTTAGACTTGAATTTCCATTTTATAACCTCACCATCTGTCAACCAGTTGTGTTGCAGTGATCTCAGAGAAGCTTTCAAACAGGGACAAGTTTTATCCAGGCATCTATATCAACCAGCTCTCTCAGAACCTGGGTAGTAATTACATTTTGTCTGCGGACCTACCTACAGGAATGACATTTGCCACTGGAAGATGGAATCATGCCAAAGAATAGGTCATTTAAGCAGACTTGGATTTAAGTAACAAATCTAGAGTTAAGTTTTTAGAGATAATGAAGGGTGGGGTTCTCTTTTCTCAAATTTTGATTGGAAATTGGGTAGAGGAAGCTAATCTCTAGAGGCCAGACATCCAAACAACCCTCAACCTCCTCCTGACCTCAGAAACAGTATTACAGTTTTGAACCTAGACTGTGGCCCAGCGTTTCCCTTCCCTCCTTGGCCACCACCACCTTTGAAGTTACAATCTTAGCTCTTGTACTACTGAGGGTACACACTCCTCACCAAGAAGCGCACCAGGTACTGGTTCGGCAGCGGAAGAGCGCGCGCCCGGGCTTGACCACAAGCTCCGCGGCGCCACCAGCTGCCAGCCAGCTCGCCCGGCACCCCACCCCGACCAGCCCGGCACCCGCCTCAGCCTGGATCCGCCGCTGGAGTTACGCAGCCTCAGCCCTGACACTACCTCTTCTTTTTTCCATCCGTATCACCGGGAAACAGGAATTGGTGAAGGGGACAGGAAACCAGTCCCAGTACCAAAGAGCCAGGACTGAAGTGGCAAGACCCAGACGCGCGCGCACGACACACACACATACTCATGCACACACTCGCGCTGGCGCGCCCCACTCCCAAGGTTCAATGCCAAGTGGAGACAGGATGGAAGGAAGGAAGGAGGTGGGGTGGCGAGAAGGCCAGAGTTGCCTGGAGCCTCACGCGGAGAGTGCTAGGGATGCTTCAGGAACTGTTAAAGTGAGAAAGTCCCAGACCTGCTCCACAACCAGCGGGCTAGGCTCTTTTGCCAGCAGCCTAGGTCGCCTTCCTTCCCATGAGGCTCGGGAGGTGGGAGGAGAACCGGAGCCAAGCTCCCCCAGGCTGCCCTCCTCGGCCTGGCTAGGTGCCCAGAACCAGGCCCCCCTTCAGCCCCGGTTTGGAGAGAACTGCCAGGCAACCAGCGGACTTGCCAAAGGGCTCTAGGGGAGCAGAAGGCAGGAAAGCAGCACCGTGCGAGCTCTGGCCGGGTCGCTTGCTCAATCCTTCTGTCGACACACCCCCAGTTACCCAACACACACACAATACACACACAGAGTGCTGAGCGCGGCTTCACCCCTCCCACCACTCCCCAGGTCAATCGATTAAAACACTAGTTGATTTCTTCCAGATTAAAAAAAAAAAAAAAGTGCAACAACAACTCTTCTCAGGAGTCGCCAGAGCAAAGAAAGTCCGTTTGCAGACGTCTTTATACTTTCCAGGAGTTCAGAAATCTGGAGATCCCCAACGAAAACGGGACCCAAGGACCGCAAGGGAACCAAGAGCGCCGAATCCCCTCCCTATTCCCGCACCTCTCACCTCCTTAAGTTCCTTGGCCACGTCCTTCAGATCGCCCAGGACTAATTCCAGATCCTCCACGATGATTTTGATCTGTTCCTTCACCTTGGTTTTGGAGGCTGCGGGCTGTCCCTCGGCTGGAGAGGACGAGGAAGGGGTCCCCTTGGACTTGGCTGACATTCTTTGGGGCAAGCGAGCCAAGTCAGGACAGGCGAGCAAGCGAAGGCTGCTGCGCGCCCCCCTCCCTGGCGCTGCTGCTGCCGCTGTCTCCCTGGTTTCCCAACATCTTGAGCGCTCCCTGGGCAGCTGCGGGTGGCTGCGCTCCGCGCTCTGCCGGGCGGCCGCACTGTGGTGCTGCCATCAACTCCCCAAGACGCGGCGCTCGGCTCTGGGCTGCAGACTGGCGAGTAGCGCGCCTGCGCCTCCTCCCGCCGCCTGCCGCTCTCGCGCGCACACGCGCTTGCTCATCCGTGAGCCCTCGGAGAGGGGCTCCCGGTGGCGGAGCCGAGAGCTGCTGCTGCAGCTTTGGCAGCACGCACCTCCAGGATTTCTCCCCAGGCTACCTTGGCATCAAGAAGTAGGGAGATAAGTCCATCGCCTGCCAACCCCCTTGCCCTGATCCTGAAATGTCCCCCCATCATCTCAGCCTGCTGTAAGTCTTCTGACATCTAGCCAAGATTCCTTCTGCCTCACCAGCTAGCTGAGACCTGGATCCCTACCACGCTTTCTGGTGGGTTTAGAAAGAAACACAAATAAAATCAGGAGGTGGAATTAGGGTTAGTAAAGCGCTCTTAAATGTTTTGCGAGGTCTAGATAATATTCACAAGACCCCAATCATTCCCCCAGTGACGTGTGAGTTAGACCTGTTCCTACTTGGGCAGGAAAAAACACCAAATTAAAAAAAAAAAAAAAAAATGCACTGCCATCGACTTGCTTCCGACTCCTCATAGTGACCCTCATTAGGTTTCTGAGGAAGATTTCCAGTTCTTCCTTCCGTGGAGTGGATGGTGGGTTTGAACCGCTAACTTTCTAATTAGCAGGCAAATGCCTTAGGTACGGTGCCACCAAATAGAAGGGGAGCTTGACAGTGTCCCCTCACTCTGGAAACCATGAAATTCAACCAGTCTTCTTGAAAGAAAATTTTAATCTGCTGATTCCCCAAAGCTAATAGTGACTTTATTAATATAAAGTCCCCACACCAAAAATTCCACAAAAGAGTATGTGAATCATCTTTGTTGTTGTTATGTGCTGTCGAGTCAGCCCCGACCCATAGCGACCCCTCCTTGCTTTTCCAAGGCAGTACAGAAGTAGGATTGCCCAACCTTCCTTCCGAGGAGTGGCTGGTGGGTTTGAACCGCCAGCCTTCTGGTTAGCAGTCAAGTGCTTTAGCCACTATGCTACCAGACCTCCTGTGAATCATCTTAGCTACTTCTTATTTGAGCCAGCTCCTCTTTCTCTCTCTCTCTTCTCTTCTCTCTCTTCTCTCTTCCCTCCTCTCTCCACTTTCCTCTGTCCTCTCTCTTTTCTGTCCTCATTTCTCTCTCTCTCTCTCTCCTTCTCACTCTTTTCATGATTTATAATGGGAAAGGAGCTCTGATGGTACAGTGGTTAGGCTACTAACCAAGAGGTTTGCAATTCCAACTCACCATGCACTCCACTGGACAAAGACGTGGCAGTGATAGTTTCCTAATGATTACAGCCTTGAAACCTTACCGTACAGTGCTACTCTGTACTATAGAGTTACTATGAGTCAGAATTGAAACGTCTCAATAGGTATACCATCAATTCCTGAATTCCTTCAGCAAAGCTTCAACTTCTTCCTTCAATACCATTGGTTCTTGATCATACGCCACCTCCTGAAATGGATGAACAGTGACCAGTTCTTTTTTGTACATGACTCTGTATTCCTTCTATCTTCTTTCGATGCATCCTGTGTCATTCCGTATTTTGCCCACAGAATCTTTCAATATCACAACTCGAGGCTTGAACTTTTTATTCACTTCTTTCAGCTTGAGAAATGCCAAGAGTGTTCTTCCCTTTTGGTTTTCCAACTCCAGGTCTTTGCACATTTCATTATAGTAATTGACTTTGTCTTCTCAAGCTGCACTTTGAAATCTTCTGTTCAGCTCTTTTACCTTGCCATTTCTTCCATTTGCTTTAGCTACTCTCTGTTTAAGGGCCAGTTTCAGAGTCTTTTCTGACATTCATTTTGGTCCTTTTTTCCTTTCCTGTCTTTTTAATGAACTTTTGCTTTCTTCATGGATGATGTTCTTGATGATATCCCTCAGTTCCTCTGGTTTTCAGTCATTGGTGTTAAAGGCATCAAATATCTTCTTTAGAAGGTCTCTAAATTCAGGAGGGTTATAATCAAGGTCATATTTTGGCTCTCATGGACTTGTTTTAATTGTCCTCAGCTTCAGTTTGAACTTCCATATGAGCAGTTGATGGTCTGTTCCACATTCAGCTTCTGGCCTTGTTTTGTCTGAAGATGTTGAGATTCTCCATCGCCTCTTTCCACCGATGTAGTCCATCTGATTTCTGTGTACTCCATCTGGCAAAGTCCGCATGTATAGCTGTTGTTTACATTGTTGAAAAAAAGGTAATTGCAATGAAGATGTCATTGGTCTTGCAAAATTTTATCATGAGATCTTCAGCGTCTCTTCTATCACCAAGGCCATATTTTCCAACCACCAGTAATTCTTCTTTGTTTCCAACATTTGCATTCCAATCACAAGTAATAATCAACACATCTTGTTTGCATATTTGATCAATTTCAGACTGCAGAAATGGGTAAAAATCTTTAATTTCTTTGTCTTTGGCTGTGGTGGTTGGTGCATAAATTTGAATAATAGTAGTATTAACTGCTCCTTCTTGTAGGCATATGGATATTATCATATCACTGACACCGGTGCACTTCAGGATAGACCTTGAAACATTCTTTGTGACAATGAATGCCACACAATTCCTCTTCAATTTATCATTCCCAGCATAGTTGATTATATCATTGTCTGATTCAAAATGGCCAAAACAAGTCTAATTTGGAAGAGAGCTACCTGGCCAACTGACTGGAAGAGATCCATATTTGTGCCCATTACAAAGAAAGTTGATCCCACAGAATGTGGGAATTATTAAAGGATATCATTAACATCACAGGCAAGTAAAATCTTGAAGATAATTCAAAAACAGTTGCAGCAGTATATTCACAGAGAACTTCCAGAAATGCAAGCTGGATTCAGAAAAGGTCGTGGAGTGAGGGATATCATTGCTGATGTCAGATGAACCTTGGCTGAAAGGAAAGAATACCAGAAAGATATTTACTTGTGTTTTACTGACTATTCTAGTTATCTAGTGCCACTCTGACAAGAATATACCTACCTCCAATGGGATGGCCTAAACAAACAGGAGTTTATTCTCTTACAGTTTGGAGGCTTTAAGTCTGAGTTCAAAGTGCCAGGCTCTAGGGGATAGGTGAAAGCCCTTCAACCTTTGGCTTCAGCTCTGCCTCCTGCTCCAAGCCCACTGGAGCTAGAGGCTTTCCTTCACTCAGACAACTACTGGCTGCTGAGACTGACAAGCCCAAGGCTGACAAGTAAAAAGGTATAGTCCCAAGGTTACCAAACCACACAGCAGGCCAGTAATTCAAGTCCATTGAAAGTCCCAACGTTGGCAGAGCATGGCAGGCTGCTGAACAATGATACAGCTACACACAGGGTTCAAGAGTGCCATAAGCTAGATACTGTTCCCCAAGGCTTCTCCTTATATACAGGAAGCAGACCACATCTCTAAGGCAGCTACTCAGCTGCTAACAGTAGATTCCACCATGGAGTTGATTACCAGTCTCCTCATGGGGAATATTACATCCAGCTGCCCAGTCACTCAACCAAGCCAAGCCAAGTTGACACACAAGCCTCACTACCACACTGACTATGCAAAAGCACTCAATTGTGTGGATCATAACAAATTATGAATTGTGCTCATAAGGAACCTATACACAGACCAGGAGGCTGTCATTCAAACAGAACAAGGGGATAATGAATGGTTTAAAATCAGGAAAGGAGTGCATCAGCATTGTATCCTTTATCCATACTTATTCAATCTGTATACTGAGCAAATAATCTGAGAAACTGGAGTATATAAAGAAGGGTGTGGCATCAGAATTGAAGGAAGACTCATTAAAGCTTGTGATATGCAGATGACACAACTTTGCTTGCTGAAAGCGAAGATGATTTTAAGTGCTTACTGATAAAGATTAAAGACACCAGTCTGCAGTAAGGATTATATCTCAACCTTACGAAAATGAAAATCCTCACAACTGGACCAATAAATAGCATCACTATAAATGGAGAAAAGATTGAAGTTGTCAAGGATTTCATGTTACTTGGTTCCCCAATCAACACCAATGGAAGCAGCAGTCAAAAAATTGGATGATGCATTGCACTGGGCAAATTTGCTGCAAAAGACCTCTTTCAAGTGCTAAAGAGCAAGGATGTCTGTTTGAAGACTAACATGCACCTAACCCATGCCATGGTATTTTCAATAGCCTCATACACATGTGAGAGCTGGACAATTAATAAAGAAGACAGAAGAGTTGATGTTTTTGAGTTATGGTGTTGGCAAAGAATACTGAAAGTACCATGAAGTGCCACAAGAACTAACAAATCTGTCCTGAAAGAAGTGCAGCCAGAATGCTCCTTGGAAGCAAGAATGGCCAGACCTTTCCTTACGTCCTTTGGTCATGTTGTCAGAAGGAATCATTCCCTGGAGAACGATATCATGCTGGGTAAATTAGATGGTCAATGAAAAAGGGGAAGATCCTCACCAAGTTGAATTGACACAGTGGCTGCAATGATGGGCTCAGGTAGGGATTGAGAGGCTGGCATAGGACCAGGCATGTTTTGTTCTTTTGTGCATAGGGTCATTATGAGTCAGAGCCAACTCTAGGGCACCTAATAACATCAACAACATGTCAGAATCTACTCATTGTGAACAGGTTTGGGTTTTTTTTTTTTTTTTTTTTTTTGGTGTTTTGAGAGGAGAAGGAAAAATGCTGTCAGGACCTTGCCGTAAGAGAACAGAATAAGAATTTGCTTTCAACTTCACCATCAGTTTTCTGCCTTTCTTTTAAGTATTTTGCTACTAAATAAACATGAAAAAAAAAAAATGTTCTGACTGTTGTACTA